GTGCAAGGCCCGCCAAGTTGACGTACTGAACTGTTCGATTTCAGAAAACACGTACCTGGGTACTTGCCATGCTCGCGTAACCGTGGCAGCATCGGACGAGGACAAAGTTCTCGACTCCAAATTCTGGCCGGCCACCATCCAGCACACAGTGCGAAAGTGGCGCTTTGCTGATGCCCAAGGTAACAAGTCGTCTTCTACTTCGCGGCGAGGCAGTGATGATCAATCCTGAACTGTCATGCTAACAAACCAACATACACAACGATGCAGCAACAACGACTAAATCCCAACGCCCCTGTATTCACCCCACGATCGAAACTAGCCCACCGGCTCTACCCCGCTCAGCCCTCCTCTGGCCGACCCGCACACATTGCATGTCCAGCGCTAAATTCATCAGCGTTCCCTTTTTTCCCTAAATCCCAGCGTGATTTAACCCTAGTATCTCTGAATTGTCGCTCTGTTGTCAACAAGTTGTCTGAGCTCTGCGTTATTGCCGAATGTGCTAAGCCTGACATAATCTGCCTAACAGAGACGTGGCTCTGTCCCTCGAACCCGCTCTCACTGTCAGGCTATATCTGCATCCGCAGAGATCGACCTCCGGAAGACAATCGGTCAGCGCATTGTAGCCGTGGGTATGGGGGTGTTGCCGTACTTGTCCGTTCGGACTCCTTTCCGTACGTCTCCCCTCGTGCCGACCTTCAACGCCCTGGCTGCGAGTCTGTGTGGCTTGAACTTGGCTCCCCCTCTACTCAATCTCAGAATCCCATCTTACTATGCTGCATGTATCGACCACCCTCACAGAGCACAATGCAATTGTCGTACTTTTGTGACATGTTTGTTGAGGCATTACAGTCAGTCTGTTTAGATTCTTATGATCTGTTAGTGACTGGCGATTTCAACGCCCACAACTCAAGCTGGTGTCCCACCGATTCTACCTCGAAGGCTGGTGATCTCCTTAGCACAGTATTTTCTGCTCTTGGGCTCCACCAGATGGTTGACTTCCCCACTCATTCCTCGCCTAATGGCTCTGTTTCGTGTCTGGACTTGGTGATCACCAACCGACCACGCCTCGTGCGCTCAATTGATCAAGCACCTCCCTTGGGTATGTCTGACCATATACAGATTGTTTGCACTTTATGTTACGCCCCTATTTCGAACTACTTCCCCAACTCTTCCACTGGTCCTCCCTCTTCACTGTATCGCTTCAAACAAGTACCTTCGCACCTTTGGCAATTAATCAACGCTGATTTAGCTGGCTACAACTGGTCCTCTCTGAACTCGTACACTGATGTTAATGACGCACTTCATCACTTTGATTGTGAGCTCCAGTCCGCCTTCCGTCGTCACCTCACCTCATTCGGAGCCACCCACACTGTGACATCTCCACGACCCCGCATGCAATCTCCACCATGGGTTACTGCTGAGCTCAGGTCTGCTGTAAAACGCAAGCGTGATCTATACAGTGTGTACAAAAAATATCCGACAGCAGTAAATCATGCAGCTTATAACCGACAAAGGAATGCTGTAAAGCACCTGTCTCGGCAAGCACATCGTCAATATATACGCTCCATCCAAGCATCGCTAACGTCACCGAATCGACCTACACTCTTTCAGTTTGTGCGAGCACAGCGGCACACTTCCGGCCGTGTCATGCCCCAAACGATGATAGCATCCGACGGTACGGTCGCCACGTCCCCCAAGAGCATAGCTGATGTTCTGAACACTCAGTTCACCTCATTTGGGCTACCTGATGATCCTTCGTGGCGTATTCCCCCTTTGTCCCAGTCGCCTTTCATATCTGTTCCGTTCCGTACAATCACTGTCACTACGTTTCAAGTTCGGAAATATCTGAAGCGCCTGAAATGTGGAAAGTCTCCCGGCTCAGATGGGATCCCGAATGAAGTGCTGCAGTCTCTTGCACCATCAATAGCCTATCCTCTCGCCATTATTTTTAATATGTCATTTCGAACTGGTACATTCCCACAGGATTGGAAATCCGCCATCGTGACACCGCTTTACAAGAATAAAGGCTCCCGTGCTTGCCCGGCAAACTACCGCCCCATCTCTCTGCTGCGCACAGTTTCCAAACTTTGTGAGCGTATTGTATTCGATTCCCTCTACCTGCACATCGCTCCGGCTCTCTCACCAGCTCAGTCGGGATTCTGCCGTGGTGACTCAACTCAATACCAGGTGACTCGACTTGTCCAAGACATAGCGACAAAGAGGAACTGTGGGGAGCATGTGGGAATGGTGTTTTTCGACTTGGCTAAGGCATTCGACACCGTTTGGCATCGTGGCTTACTTGCCAAGTTGGAGGTCACCTTCCGGGTGGAGGATGCTGCATTGCGTTGGATATCCTCGTATCTGTCTGCTCGTTCTCAGGCTGTTCGCTTGTCTTATTTCTTGTCTGATCCCCTCCCTGTAACGTCTGGAGTGCCCCAAGGTTCCATTCTGGGTCCTTTGTTATTCTTGCTTTACGTTAATGACCTACCTTCAGTTGTCCCCGATGTTAGTTTGTATGCGGATGACACTGGCCTTATCTGTTCTGATTCCTCCCCTGCACAATTACTCCTTACCATGCAGCATCGCATCAACAGCACTGTCATGTGGATGCAAACGTGGAAACTCCAGCCCAATTTAGACAAGACAGAAGCCATGTATATTTCTTCATCCCCTCCTGATCAACCATTATACTTCCCTGACTCGACTATGCCTATCCGTGTTGTTACTCAGCACAAACATCTCGGTGTGATGTTTGACTGCAAACTCTCTTGGGCTGCACATGTCAACTGTGTATGCAAGCGAACCAGTTCAGCATTAGGGGTACTACAACCACATTGCACTCATTTGCCCATCCAGTGTAAACTATTATTTTATCAGTGCTATATTCTCCCTATATTCGACTATTGCGATACCGCTTGGTGTGGCCTTTCTGACACAACTCTGAACCAATTAGAAGTCCACCATAGATTTATACTTAAAATTCTTTACAACAAGGATCGATGTTTTCCTTCGGATGCCCTTTATCGACTTGCGCACACTTCTCCTCTCTCCGTTCGTCATAAGCACCATCTCTGTACACTGGTTCATAAAATATTTCTTCATAAAACCCCTTCACACATGATGAAGTACAATTGGTTTTCGACAAGCTCAACCCGTAACGCGCTCATCCTGCCTCTTGTTAAGTCAGCCCAGTATCTAAAGTCCCCTTTGTTTTCCGGCTACTCTCATTGGTTATCATTACCATACGGTCTGAAAACTTGTTCTTCTATTGGTCAGTTTAAAGATCTACTATCACAACTGAACTAGACGCAATAATTATCATCGAAGAACATTCTCGAATACCTGGGTGATGCACGAATTTTGATAGTGCTCACTTCCGTTAATCGTTTTTCTTTGTAATTTTCCATTCATTTTCTGCTCTAATTCATATTTGCTTTGTTTTCCTAGCTTACTATTGCCGTGGCTGGCTCAACGCCCTTGTCTCAGGGGATTCTGTCCCTGCATTAGCTATGCTTGTCACATGCTATGAGATTGTGTCTAATAATAATAATAATAACGTAGACGTGGACGTGTTCAGTCCACGTAGATCTACGTCAGTCACACGACAGCCCGCCGAAAAAAAGTTACGGTCGGGCTGAAAAATGTACGGTCGGTCGGGTGAGTCGAACCACAGACCTTCTTCAGTGTGGCCTTACTATGATTGTATTACAGTGGGATGGGACTTTGCGCTGGGCATGCAAATTCTGTCGTTATTGCGAATTGTCGTTATATCCGCAGTCGTTATTAGCAAAGTACTAATACTAGTTGACTGTAGAGGTGCTAGCTACATGATGTAGGCAGATTGTGTGTGTATGCCATGACTGTACACAAAGATGCAGCTGGTGTGCACTTTGTACTTGTAGTTGCACTCTAGCGGGAAGATCGGGGGCTTCTTAAAGGGGAAGTATACCCTAAAATCAAATTTTCACCAGTTGTAGTCTTCTGGGTGCTGAGTCGAATGGTCTTGGTCCGAGGAAGCTGCGACGCTCCCTTCCTACTTGAATCCCAATCGAACTCGCGCACTTCCACCGAAACTGGGTGACTGCGCCCTACTAGATGGGGATTTGTATGCAAAATGTCACTAAAAGCGCCATTTCGTTCTTATAAAAGCACGGATGACCGCGATTGGCCCATATGTTGTAGTCTTTTGGATGCTGAGTCGACTGGTTTTGGTCCGAAAAGGCTGCGATGCGGCGTTCCTCCTTTATTCCCAATCGAACATGGTTGAACAAGTGGTCACGTGCTCCTGGGTGCCCAAATCACCTGGTCACCGCGCCAGCAGGCGACAACTTTCACACCAAGGTTCAACTCGAGTTCAACTCGAGTGACAGGACTGCACCCAAAAAAGGTCAAACACGCTAGTAAGTTGTACCCTGCAGGCACGGTGACCAGGTGACTGGTGTACGCAGGAGCACGTGACCGCTTCTTCAACCATGTTCGATTGGGAATAAAGGAGGAACGCTGCATCGCAGCCTTTTCGGACCAAAACCAGTCGACTCAGCGTCCAAAAGACTACAACATATGGGCCAATCGCGGTCATCCGTGCTTTTATAAGAACGAAATGGCGCTTTTAGTGACATTTTGCATACAAATCCCCATCTAGTAGGGCGCAGTCACCCAGTTTCGGTGGAAGTGCGCGAGTTCGATTGGGATTCAAGTAGGAAGGGAGCGTCTCAGCTTCCTCGGACCAAGACCATTCGACTCAGCACCCCGAAGACTACAACTGGTGAAAATTTGATTTTAGGGTATACTTCCCCTTTAAAACGAACAGTTTCGCGGCGGTGCTTGCGACGAGATAATATCTTTAGGTAATTAATTTTTATAAAATAATATTTGGTAAATTCACTATTCTACTCGTTGAACTATCCACGCGATCGAGCAGACCTGCACTGCAGTACTGGCGCTCACTACAGAAAAATGTAGTGCTAGTGGTTCTGCTTGCTGCTAGTAATACTACTACATGTAGTAATACTAATAGCTAAGCTGGTACAGAGCTGGAGCAGTAGAGCTAGCTAGGCAGCGACGGCCTTAGCCGTTCGTCTGCTGATAACGGGAAAAAATAATTACTTCAATCTTACTGATAGCGCTAGCGGGCGAGGAAGCGCCGAGCGGCGTGATACTGATATAGGCAGAGAATGCTGAAAGTGTCAGCAAGCCGCAGCAGCGGTGATGAACATCATGGATGTACGCCTCACCGCAACGACATGCTGGCAAGTCAGCCACAAACCGTCTCACTGCTTGCTCAGGACGAGCTACCACTGCTTCCTCAGGACGAACCACCACTGCTGCCACAGTCGGAACCTCTCCTGGCACAATCGGATGAGACAACTGAAGAAGGCTGTTGTTGTTCCTCAGACGAGCAGGCGAAGAGCTACGGGAAAGCTAGCTTCTGTTGCAGAGGAGGTTCCGTCGCTCCATCACGCAGGAAGATGCTTGTGACACGCGCGAGCACCAGGAGGCTGCTGAAGCTGAAACTAGTGCTCCTGTTCAACGTGACGCTGCTTGGCTACTGGCAGATGACCCTGCTGACAAGGCGAGGCTGCCAATCCGGCAACACCAGCAGCACGACGACTGGAGAAACGACCGCCGCTAGTGACGACAATGCCAGCTTGCTGGAGGAAGTGGAGAGGGAGATAGCTGCCCTACAGAGGGAGGTAGGCATAAGGAAGAGAGCCCTGGCCGAAATGGACGCAGATGTGAGAGACGAAGCAGCTGGCATGGACAGTGCCGGCCTGGGAGCAATCACGAACGACGATGGACTGCCCGCGTTGCCTGAGTCACCGACACACGAGGCCTCCGCATTGCACTCGTCGCAGACGCAAGCTAGCTGGCAGTCATCATCGCACCGAGCACCGCAGACAGCAAGGAGCGCACGCGCACACACGGCCCAGCACGAGCGCATGAACAAGGCGGCATTGTCAGCGCAGTGGTCGGAGCTGGTCTCCTGGGCAACGTTCAACGCCACGCACTACTTTGAACAGGCAGACAACAGTGGTGCGCCACCATTGGCCCAAGGCACCGATCTCACTGGCAGTGGTGGTGCCGGGCAACGACACACGGTAGAGGTGGACCTTCTGTTAACGCACACGCTCTCCGCAATGCACGGCCTGTATTCCCGCGGGGATTTCGTCGAGGGCCTAGCGCGCACCATTCGCCCGTTCGGCATGCAGTACGAGCTGTTTTTTCGCCGCCGCCGGGGCAACCCTGAGCAGCAGGAGGATGCTGTGGAGCGAGTGCGAGTTATGAGATCTCTAGGGCGACTCGAAGCTCGCTCTCTATCTGCAGCGAGCGAGAATAGAGATGATGTAGACACAGACAGTATGATGACTGGTACTCCAAACCCGAGTGCTAGCGGAGAGTGGAACGCGGTGAATATCACGACTCGACCCTGTCACTTTCTCGTGACCATGTCGAGTCGCCGCGACGTGCACCACCTCCGTCACACCATGCAGTACTTTACCAGCACTGTGTTGCTTAGCGACGAGGCGCGCGACTGGCGACTGGACCGCCTGGCGTCGCTCAGCGTGGTCGTCGTGACGACGGACGCGTTTGTCGTTTCCGCGGCAACGGACGTTGTACGCGACGCGCTACGCGACCACCAGGACTTCAGCCGGTACTACGTGGTGCGCGTAAGCAACGCCGGTGATTGGCGAAGCTCCGTGCTGACACATCTCCAGAGCGTGCTTGTTGCCGGAGGCAACCCACACGACACCGTCATCACCATGGATACGCATTACATGCCGACCGCGTTCTCTTTGAATCGTTGCCGTGCGGTCGCCGATGCCGGTCGCCGTGCCTACAGCCCCATAGCCTTTCAGCTGTACAACCCGCTGCTCAACCACGGCATGCGACGCAAGAAGGTGTCCGGCGCCCGTGGCTTCTGGGAGGACAGAGATCACGGCGTCCTTTGCCTTGCATGGTGAGTGAGCTGATGCATGACCGCTGGCTTAGTGCTATTGGGGGATACTGTATGCTAACGCCAAACAACCCGTTTTCCAGGTAAGTGTACTCGGTGCGTTTTTACTTTAGATAAAAATTGTCGGCACCGAAGTAAGTAACCGAAAATACAACACCACCGAATTGTTTTGCTTTTACAGTACTCAGGGTGATTTCAAGTGCGCCTGGTCGTGCATGACGGGTTTTTTGAAATCTTTTTTGAAGTTTTTTTTATTCTCGCGGGTTAAAACCCTACACCATAGCTCAGTGGTTAGAGCATCGCTAGCTACAAACGAGGGTCCCTGGTTCGAGTCCTGGTGGTGACGGTCAATTTTTTCTTCAGACTTTTCCCGTTTGTCTCTTTCCCTCAAACTAGTGAGGGTTAAAACCCTATTGCTGTTTGACAGTTTTGTTTTTGAGGTAGATTGAATCATGTTGTTAATAACTAGAAATCTTCTGTCTCACTGCAGGTCGGACATGGAAGGTGCTCTGCAGCACATACCGGCAGAACAATTCAGAGGCAATTCCTTTGCAGCACCACCGTCGCCTAGTCTTGTTCTGTATCGGCATCTACTGGCCACGCGTCACATTTCCGTGATCCGAGCACCCGACAGGGGTATGTTCCGGCCTCACAGAATCACCAGATGCGAAATGGTAAGTGTGTGTGTGTGTGTGTGTGTGTGTGTGTGTGTGTGTGTGTGTATGTGTGTGTGTGTGTGTGTGTGTGTGTGTGGTTACAAGAAAAAGAAAAAAAGACCAAAAATAGGGATTCACTGGCCAGAAAAAGTCACTTCAAATAGCTGTATGGTGTAGACCAGGCTGAATAGTGATGGTCAATTCTTCAGCCTTGCAAGCTGTTGAATGGTGCAATCCCAGCACAAGTTGCTATGGCTTCTGCCGTAGCATTGCTATCATCGCCTCCGGCGATGGGCGTCAAAGGTCAAAGGTGTGTGTGCGTGCATGCGTGCTTGCGTGTGTGTGCGTGTTGCATGCCTATACATGAACATGTTTTGCTGCTTTCAAAATGACACAGCTATTGGTTTGGGAAGTCACTCTGATCCCCCGCTGAGGAGACCAATTAGGGTCAAAGAGACTGACTATGCAGATGTTGAATATGTGCATGATGTACACACACACAGACATGGGCAGTTGAGAGGTTTATTTCATTATGATAGCATATTTCGGGGACTACGCCCCCCTCCCCCCCCCCCCCCCATCCGCTGCCATAAAGACACTAGAGCGTGTGATGGATGCTGCTCTTCGGATTATTCTGGGTTGTGGATTTCACCTACTGTTGAACCACTGATTTTAGCGGGTAGCATTTTTAGCGTTTTCTGAATTAGGGCCAATTCGCTAAAATCGCGAAAAATTCACCCGCGCTAAAATTACCCGTTTTACAGTAAAGTTGAACTCGGATGGTGAGCCAATTTCTGGTAAAAAAAGGAGAAGACAAAATGTTACGAGTTATGACTAACTGTCCACCAACATAACCAGATCTTATACAGTCAGCGAGTGCGACAAAATGGCACAAAACCGACAAGGAGTACTGAGACATTCAGCGACCTGACACCTAGCTCCAACACTTCTCCAAGGTGCAAACCAACAACCTTCCAACGTGGAAGGCTCAGGTTCGGAAAGGTCCAAGAGGGGAAGGAAAGCGCAACGAAGAAGAGCATGCACTATGCCCCATGGCGACATAAAATGCCGAACGTTACTGAATGACGACGAAACTAAAAAGACTATTGGACATACCGGCCTTACTACTCAGTACCCCTTGTCGGTTTTGTGCCATTTTGTCACACTCGCTGACTGTATATGATCTGGTTACGTTGGTGGACAGTTAGTCATAACTTGTAACATTTTGTCCTCTCCTTTTTTGCGTTTTACAGTACCTTGCATGTTTGTAGTATCGTGTAAAACAAAGTAAATTATCGTGTCCGTTCACGAAGGGAACTCACGACGGCCGCTAACACCCGGTAAGCCTGTGTATGGTACTGTAGTGAGGATCAAGCTGATTCGTGTAGACACCGTCGCGAGGGTCAGATGTTGCACCACATGTGTGGTGAACAGTTTCATGCATGCATTGCTGATGTTGTGCATTAAAATTTGTATGCTTCTACGTGACACCAACACGCACACACCCCTCGTGTCTCTCTAATCACAGAAACCAGTGCAGAACCCGGTGGAAGCGCAGCGGGCCGAAGCACTGTTTGACGAGTGTCGCATGCAGAAGGCCCGCACCGAGGGAACCCGCCGCACCATCGCCGAGCTAGTGTTCGGGGAGCAAAAGGTGCGCGACCTGCTTGTACAAGCGGAAACCGCGCAGCTCAGACACGAAGACAAGATGTGACGCGGCAGGCGACGTCATTGCGTCACCATGATGACATCATCATCATCATGATGATCTCATCAACATACCAGGCAATGTACGGATGAGTAAAGTACACCCACAACTATTGTTGTCAGGATGGTTTCCATGGTAACATCGATGGGGCAATTGTCTCTCAGTGGATTTCCAACACAAATGCACTTGGAAATGGACTTGGATTATCTCTTTGCTGATCGGATTGACTGTGACTCTCAAGACATCGAGGCCAGCCCTGCTAAAGTAAATCGAACATTGAACAGCATGTGCCCCCCCCCCCCCCCTCCCCCCCCCCCCCCCCCCCCCAGGGCAGCTGTGTACCAAGTGTTAACCATCAACCAAGTGAACATCTTAATTTGAAAGAGGCCAATTTAAAGTATAAATCAACTGTACAATTATCTGCTGAGTAAAACTGCTCTCCTAGGTAGCACTAAATTATAACAATTAATGCGTTGTATCCGGCAGTTGCAAAGATTTATGCCGAACAAGACAAAAAGACCGGAGGAAAGTGGCCTGCAAAAGAATCATTATTATTTCAAGATGCCAAAACAAATCGTATACTTTGCGTTCAGCAATACGCACACTTCCTTCTGACAAGTGACGTGAAAAGTATATCCATCCGCACGCAGCGTTTCTGGTATTCATTGCTACAATTCTACTACACTCACATACATGTACAATTATAGTGCTGGCGAGTCAACATTTAGTTGCAGATAGAAGTGATCTATTAAAATAATGTTTAGCATGTGTCTATCAATGTGATCAAGAAATTTTATTTTGAGATCAGAAATATCAAGTCCAATTTCACAACTTTACTATAAAGGTATAAGAATCTATACTCTGAAGTCTACCGCTGTGTGATGTAGATCATATGGAGCCAGCTGCATGTTTCGTGTGTTCAATCATGTGATGCGAGGGCTACTGCAATGATGTCATCGTGACATCACCACAAACACAAGCGTGCATGACGTCAGTGTAACATTGGTGATGTCACAGTGACGTCACCACATATGCAAGCGTGCATGACGTCATCGTAACCTCGGTTAAGTCATCGTGCCTTAGTGGCATCACTGCGTATGCAAGCGTGCACGATGTCAGCGTGACATTGATGGTCTTGTGATAAAATCACCATGTTCCATTGACCTTCGAAGAGCTCCATGACATCACTCCATTACTCCTTCACTTTACTAAATTATTGCAATGTTCTTCTACTAAGGAATTGACCTAGGGCAAGGCAATGACGCCTGTTGGGATTCCCTAGAAAAATAAGAATAAAAATAAAAATAAAACGGGTGGACCTAGGGTTAATATAAAGACACACTACAAAAAGAAGTGTGTTTGAAGCACTGAGAAACCTTTCAAGTATTCTGCATTGTCACGGAAATACAATACCCTGGCACAAGTTCTCCTAGCGGATGTTCTGCTTTTCCGCCATCCTGTCCATATCTCCGCCGTCTTAGTTCAAGGCAGGGCTTGATTCTGCACCGCCATTGCCACGTTCGTCATCGTTGTCTTCGTCGTCGTCGTTGAAAATCTCTCCCTCTGCCCAGCGCTGCCGTTCGGTGGAGGTCAGCGCCGTGTAGACAAGAGCGGCGGTAAGGAATACGCCCGACGTGATGAAGAACACCTTGCGCCATTCCTTCGCCGTCTTGTGCGGCTGCGAGACACCGGGCACAACACACACACACACACACCCACGCACGCGCGTGCCCACACACACACACACACACATACAGTCAATGCTTGATTTTCTTTGCATGCGTGCTACGGTCCTGGAATACTGGGCTGTGCACTGGTGCAGGGCGCAAACCTAAGTCACACGACAGTCAGCTTTCCCCGAGTAGCACTGTTCATGACCGTACGTACATGTATGTACCATGCAACTCAGTCATATTATTTTTCACGCCGTTCTCATTCAGAGCGAAGCTCATGTTTCTTCTTATAGTAACAGTCCTTGCTTGTAGGCACGTGTAGAGGCTCGGCGATTTTACTACAGTGAAACCTGTCTAAGGCGACCGCTCAAGGGACCTTCAAAACGTGGTCTCTGTTGCCAGGTGGTCTCCATATCCGGGGTCATTTGACTGGAAATAGCTTCCCTTGGTGCTGGATGCGGTGGTCTTCTAGGACAGGTGGTCACCTTATCTGAGTGGTTGCCTTGGCAGCGTTTACTGTATTGTCGTTGACATGGAAATCCGGTCGCACGTCTAGCGGCCCTAGGGCGCTGGCCTTGCAGCCGTGGGTAAGCGACTACTACTTAGCGGTACACACATGCATTTACATTCATGTGCCGCAGCGCGCTGGTCGCATCGGATCAACGCGATTGTGCGCTGCACGCGACGTTCCGTACGCGCTGAGGGCGCCGACCCCGGTCAACCGCCTGGATTTCCATGTCCGCTACAGTAGCACATGCTGCTTATTCTGCTTAAAGGGAGGCAAAAATTAAAATTTCACCAGTTGTAGTCTTCGGGGTGCTGAGTCGAATGGTCGTGGTCCGAGGAAGCTGAAACGCTCCCTTCCTACTTGAATCCCAATCGAACTCGCGCACTTCCACCGAAACTGGGTGACTGCGCCCTACTAGATGGGGATTTGTATGCAAAATGTCACTAAAAGCGCCATTTCGTTCTTATAAAAGCACGGATGACCGCGATTGGCCCATATGTTGTAGTCTTTTGGACGCCGAGTCGACTGGTTTTGGTCCGAAAAGGCTGCGATGCAGCGTTCCTCCCTTATTCCCAATCGAACATGGTTGAACAAGCGGTCACGTGCTCCTGGGTGCCCAAATCACCTGGTCACCACGCCAGCAGGCGACAACTTTCACACCAAGGTTCAACTCGAGTTCAACTCGAGTGACAGGACTGCACCCAAAAAAGGTCAAACAGGCTAGTAAGTTGTACCCTGCAGGCACGGTGACCAGGTGACTGGTGTACGCAGGAGCACGTGACCGCTTCTTTAACCATGTTCGATTGGGAATAAAGGA